GTGTGTGTGTGTGTGTGTGTGTGTGTGTGTGTTGCCCCCAGGTGGTGGAAGACTGCTACAACATTCTGAAGGAGTACAGCTTCCGCTTTGTGAGGAGGGGGCCGATCTTTGTGAAGGGAAAAGGTGAACTGCTCACGTATTTCCTGAAGGGAAGAGACAAACAAGGCTCATTTATCAACGGCTCCTCTGTCACTCTGCCACACCAGGTGGTGGACAGCTAAGGACTCACACACACACACACACACACACACACACACACACAGCAGTTACATCCAGTGTGTAATGATCGCAGAGTGAGAGAGTTTCTGGAACGAGAAATAATTTGCCAAAAAACGCTCCGGTACCTGGTATTCAACCAAATGTTTACAAATTACAGAACCACTACACACTTCATACACACCTCTGACAACACCATTGCTGAACTCACACAGACACACTTGTTCTCTGTCTGTGGAAAGATATAAATGCCTGTAGATATTGTATTTGAATTCAAGTTTCACCACGGAACTCAAAACATGAATCAATTCATATCAAATGGAATTATTCAAAATGTAGAGAAACAACAGACATCCAAATCAGACACTATAGATTAAATATTACAAATACAAATAATTAGACTACATTACATCAAGTTGCTCTTTAAGTGACACAAGATGGCCACATTTTCATATTTATGGTAGTTTTTCAGAAACACAGAGAAATGCACTTACTTTCAGTGTAAACAAAGAGAAGCTTTGTTCCCCCCAACCTAATGGAATTAAGATGGAGGTTAATGACAATGTGTTAGTAACTGGAGTAAGCTGGATGTGTGTTTTCACATTCTCCTGCAACAAAAAGTGATATGAAGGTTTCTTCAACATTCTCCTGCTACAAATATTCACACCTTCAGACACACTCTCCTGCAGCTCATTTAAAAAAGACAAATCCACACCAGCAGCTCTTTATCCAACCATGGACGTTAGCACCCTAACCATTCAGATATCACCATGTATACCTATCATTTCAATCCAATGTCATCCATTGCCGAATATTTAATTTAAATACAATGATAGGTTTTATTTCTTTCCAGATGAAAACATTGTTCTCACACACACACAAACACAAGGCCTTTCGCACCTGACCACATTAACACAACGTAGCTTTTGGACGCCCGGCCTAAATTCTGGACCGCTCCACATGTACAAAATCCTTCCATGAACGGAAAGCTGATCTGAAAGCTGATCTGAGCTCAGATTTCCTGTCTCTGATGAAGAAGAGGATTTGGAAGTGGACCAATGAGAGGCCAGAAGTGACAATAGAGCTGCTGCCAATGTGTTTGCGCATAGTGTTTTCCTGCAAAATCAAAGTATTCTCTCTCCTCGTGTGTGATCTGGGGACAGGTCGCTCCTCCGTGTTCACGCCTCTGTACGGAGAGACACAGGTGTCAGTTCAGAGGGTAGCACACATGGCAGAAATATTTTTCACTCTGATTGTGGATTGATGGAAGTGCCTATCACAGCTGTGATGTTTTCATGAAGTTAAAGGAGTCTATAGCCTTCTACAGGTAGGGGAAAGTCTTTGAGTCTTTTCACATTGCTGTGTGGGGATAATTCAAGTGTATTTCAGCAACTCCACTCTCTATTTAATTAGTAACTAAGATCTGGAAACATGATGAAATCAACAAAAATAGGTCTGTGAATGGTTTAGAAACAAAGCAACATGGAGCCTTATTCGAAGATAAAGTATGCACTGTAACATTATTACCCATAGTTTCACATCACAGTTTATAAACCCACTGCCTGCCTAAACTTTGACATACTGTACCTACCAAGCCCCCAGCAAGAGCGGCGGCCATTAAAGCAAATGTTTCCAGTGGCCAAACAATGGTACTACAACGTCCTTGTCAGTTTGTGACGTCATTGGGCCAAAAGAAGACTTTTTCCCATTGACTTACATTGGGAAAGAGATGTCTGTAAATAATTGTATAATTCTTTTATAGCTTAATTTACTACACAGGAGTTACTTTCCCTCTCCATTTATTTAACTGAGCCGAAACCCGGCAGATTAGATGTTCAATCGTGATGCCACTAAGCAACTTTTACAGGAATGAACGCCTCAGACGCAGTTCTCTTAATACAACCATGGTACCAACGTTTTCTTTGGATTATTGTCAGCATTTTAGGTGTGTTCACTTTCAGTTTAATCACCAATGATGGTTCGGACTATCATCCATGTTGTCTAAATATAAGGCTTATTTTGTTTTTATAAATCGGCCTAACCGGTTTTACTGTAATGGGTATTTTCATTTTATTTATTTTTACCAAAAAAAGTTATAAAAATATTCTTTTAAATGATTTGGCTTCCCCCTGCAGACACTCTCAGTACCCCTAGGGGTCACGGACCCCCTGTGGGACAACTTCTACTCCTGTTTCTGGATCCATTAGACCTCTTTGTGACATTTGATCTCAGCAATTAGCTTGGGTGAATGTGTCAGAAAAGGACAGAGGCTGTAATAAACTGGAGTTTCCTTTCATTGCATGTGGAAAAACAAGAGACTTCAGTCAATCTAGAACGTATTAAACATGTATTTCAATGTGTCAAAAGACGACAGCGACAAACGGTTCAATACATGAACTTGTTGCAGCCTTCCACATCGTTTTCACACGATTTGAATCAAGCCCATTTCTATCTGGTATTAACATGTGTGGAAAGTGTCAATAGGCCTTTTGAATTCACACCTCACGCTTTGACGCTGCTGTCCCCAGTGCTACTGAGGAACGGTCTTCACCTTGCTTCATGGACGAGTTCATTTATTGCCATCCGAGTTAGCAGAATTGGAATCTGTGTACATTAACCCCTGCTTTACAAAGCAGATTCACTGATCCAGATACAGATCTCATGTTAATACCAAGTGGATTCGGGGTCTAACTTTTCTCTTGAGTTTTGTCCTGAAGTTGGCTATCATCTGTGTGTTTGTTAGTCTCTGCTTGTTGGACATGTACAGCAGACACCACAGGGTTTTTCATACACCAATGTGTTTTCACGTGCAGTTGGCAGATGGGCCGAAAAACGTTTTGGTTCATGTGAAAATCTGCAAGAAGTTCCCACTGAAGCTGCATTCACATGATACGCGATTTGCTCTTCGCCCACCTTGAGTTTGGGCACAGAGTCTTGCGTGCGAGAAAAGCTAGTTAAGTTGTGTTTCTATGGTAACCCCTCGTGCTAGTTTGCGCCACTTCATGGAGCCGTCATCTTATTGGTTGCGCGTTGAAAGGTCAGCAGTAAACGAGTTAAAGGTTTAGATAATTTGAGCGCAGTGCTCCTCGCTCCCAGGAAGTGCACCAGCAAATGTTGTAGTGGCCAAACATTTGTACTAAAGTCCTTTTCTTTTTTCCATTGACTTGAAAAACTCAAGTGCTTATTCTCGCTGGGCAAAATCCCCTAATTGATCCAATACCTTTTGAATCTACAGTCGCTCCATTTAGGGATTCATGCTCCACTGAGGACATTTCATAAGAATGAACAGTGCCCCGCCTCCGACCAGTTCTCTTCATACATCAATGTGCGTGACTGTGAGTGTAGTGAGTCACCTATTCACACCGCTCTCTCTATTGAAACATAACAGCAACATAATAATAATAATAATAATAACTTAGATTTATATAGCGCCTTTCACCCAAGGTCACTTTACAGAAAAACAGAATGTCAGCGCAGAGCAGTTTTCCCGCCTATCATGTGAATGCAGCTTAAGAGACCTGGCCAGGTGAGAAAATATGGACAGACAAGAACACCAAGCAAAATCTGACTTTATTATTTCAAATGTTTGGAGTAAATGCAGATAAACCATATTCTGAGGGAAGCCTGGTCTGCCTCGACAGTCTTCTCACACGCAGGGAATGAGGCATGTCATGGTGCTTATTTTTACATCATTTTGCCAAATTTGTTGCAATTAGAGAAGCTCTGACAAGACTCCCCTAACGGAGAAAAACGCTTGTATTTTGGATGTCCACATGAAGGCAGGACACACAGTGGAAGGAGCGCCCCCACCTGGCAGGAAGCAGATGTGCTGTGTGAGGGTTTTGGGGATATGATTATGTATACAGCTCTTTCCTCCGCTGATTGTAAAGCCCATTAATGATTCAGTAGAATGGGATAAAAGTGCAATAGTTTCTTCTCCTACAAAACACGCTCCTCTCTTAAGGAAAGGTTCAATCATTCCTTCCCCTTTAATTCATATTTTTATAATGTTATGTACAAGTTTTGTCATATTTAAGGAGAAGGAAAGAGGACTGAGTATGTCCTAGTTGTATATAGACTTTAGAAGGTGTTTATGAATCAGATTTATTTATTGGAAATGACAGAGACATTGTTTTTTTGTTTGTTTTTTTACACAGATGTGAAAGTGCCAATGATAAAAGGAATGACTTTAAATGTTAAAAGCCAAAAAATGGACCACGGCTGTTTCCTGATTTATATTTTAAAAGAATCTCAGGCTTGGGAACAAAAATGGAATAATGTGTCATTATTTCCAGGTTTTGACTGCGACAGAATCTTCTTCTTTTTTTTTAAAGCTAAGCAGCAACACAGAACAGTGAACGCCATCTGGAGAGCCAGCAGGGCCAGCCGATGATGAAGTCGACAAAATGATTTAATCTTGTGGTTCTAGTTGTTGTTGTCGTTCCATTTTGTCCGGATTTTATTCAAAACTTTGATTCCTCTGCACATTTTTTGTGATTTTTAATTAGATATACTGTAGATCCCAATTCTGGTTTTGAAGTATTTCTCATTCTGTGTACCCTCCTTCATTTCAACTGTCATTGTAAGGTGAGTTGATAAAAAAATCCAATAAAGATGAGTCTCAGTGTCATGATTACTGCACAGTAGGTGGACACTGCGGCACAGTGGATGTCTCAACATCTCCGTAGGTGGAGGCTGACAAGAGCAGCAGAGGTGAGTCATTCAAACACTCCAACTGTAATAAAGTGTAGAAACAAAAACTTATCGTCACAGATGCTGCACTTCCCTGATTTAAGCCATCCTTCAATTGTCGTCTTCAATTTGTTATACATTGGTGCTTTGAAATAAAAGCAAAGAAGAAGAACCTAGACTAACAACTAGGACCATTATTCACCTGTAAATATATAGATGACATTATAGCATGCTGTGCCAATACTCAGGGTTGTGCAGGGTTACTCTAAAAATGTATACCGTTAACACTCAAATGTACCTGTTAGACCAATTAAATCATTAACATGGTCTGAGTATTAAAATATACATCAATATCAAATGCAATGCATAGATAAATAATTAACAATAAGATGTTTTTTATTTAAGTGTATTATGTAAGACAACATAATAAAACAGAACAATGTGAAAGAAGAAACCAAGATATTTATTATCAAAAATGTCTGCTCAGTGATTTTGTTTATAGGAAAACCTGACATTCATTCAGCATATTCAGGCAGCAGTCTATACACCACCAATGAAACACATGAGCACATACTACAATAAAAAAAAAAAAGCAGAAATAAAATCTGAGCTGACAGAAAATGCTGCGTTTTAGTTTAATACACACAGTTCAGCTCACACACAATATGTTATGAACACAGGTTCACGTCTTGAATTAAAAAAAGAATGTCACATTGACATTATGGATTACTAGCACCACTACAATGCTACAAAACATTTTAAATAGAGAACAATATGTAGCCTACTAGAGAATATTGTCTTTTTTGTGAAAGTTGCAGATTTTATATTTGCTTTGTGAGTCACTCACATTGTTGTGTAGGCCCATACTTTAGGGTGGAATCTATACGCCTTCTGCCTGAATATTAATAATGGTTTTCACTTTTTTTTTCACTATGGTCATGAAGGATGGGTCATGACCGAAAGAACGAGATCGCGGGTACAAGCGGCCGAGATGGGTTTTCTCCGCAGGGTGAGTGGTGTCTCCCTTAGGGATAAGGTGAGAAGTTCAGTCATCCGGGAGGGACTCGGAGTTGAACCGCTCCTCCTTCGCGTCGAAAGGAGCCAGTTGACGTGGTTCGGGCACCTAGTTAGGATGCCACCTGGGCGCCTCCCTAGGGAGGTGTTCCAGGCACGTCCAGCTGGGAAGAGACCAAGGGGTAGACCTAGGACCAGGTGGAGGGATTATATCTCTTCGCTGGCCTGGGAGCGCCTTGGGATCCCCCAGTCAGAGCTGGTTGATGTGGCCAGGGAAAATAAAGTTTGGGGCTCTCTGCTGGAACTGCTACCTCCGCGACCCGACCACGGATAGCGGGAGAAGATGGATGGACTTTCTTTGGTTCTTGATTTTTTGACCCTATGTTCATAAAATAGTGTGTTTGAGCTTAACTATGTATTAAACGAAAATTGGGCAATTTATGTTAGCTCTGATTTTACTTTTTGATGTTTTAAACTGTAGTCTGTGCTCATGTGTTCATTGTTTGGTCACCATTTTTAAAGGTAAGCAAAATGAGATGCACAGCGCCCCTAGCGGCGACGCAGCGCGCGCAAACTGACGTGGAGGAATTTCCGCCGACGTCACTGCGTATGTCAGGGCTGCAGCTGTCTTAGAGCAACAATAACAAGCTCTGCCACATTAACTTAGCACGGCTTTAACGCTCCCTGACAGCGCCAGATAACACCGAATCTCGTCAAAATGTGGCTCTCAGAATAACTTAGACCTCTGTTTCCTCGTCGTCCGAGTCGAACACTAGGGTTACCGTCTCCGCCACCGCCGCTCCAGACCCGGAGAGTCGGTCGCAGGGCAGGCAGGGCTGCATCTGGGTCAGTGGGCCTGTCGGCGGCAGCACCGGTGTTATCCCCGCGGGCTCACATTGCGCCTGTCATTCGTTTTTATATAGCCTACATACCCGCATAATCCGCGGTAACATGCAGGGGGACGGGGCAGGACAGGACCAAGACTCAGAACTGTCCTGCCGAAACGGTGCGCAGAACGGCGAGTCGTCCTCCATCGGAGAGGCTCACTCCAACGGGCTGGAGTCGGTGACTAACAATGGAAACACTGTCAACAACAACAACGGAGTGTCAGCACCGCCGGAGTCCAACAACAGCAACAGCACGGTGGACACTAGGAAGAAGAAGCGCCTGTCTCAGTGCGAGGAGGACGTCATCAGGCTCATCGGACAGCATCTCCACGACCTAGGGCTCAAGTGAGTGAGAAACAGAACCGAGTCACCCCCCACCTCTGCCGAACCATCACACAGTTTGATGCAGCCATAACAATATAAATATAATTAAATACTATGTCAATGATGTGCTCGTAGGTGAATTTGTCTTTTACATAACAAATGCATTCCCATTGTTTTCACTCTACACTGCAGGACTGTGCTCCCAGTGGATGAGACAGGCACAGGATTTACGTTTTATATGGAGTTCGCTTCCTGTTTGTTCAACACAATAGAACGCCAAGCCCATTAAATAAAGACTTGTCAATTCAACACAATAAAAAATGCTCCTGCATATTAAGAAAAAAAAAGAGGTTGAGTTTGGATTAAAAGTTATTTGGCTTTGAGTTTGGGTGAGAATTATATTTGTCTTAGTCTTTGAATAAGTTTGTACTCCATGTTATTGAATTCTGCACATAGTTAGATTGTGATAAGATGACCTGTTGAAGGATACAGGAAGTCAGAAATAGTATTATATTCCTGATTATTTAATAAATAACTTATTTCTTTCTGGTTATCAATCAATCAATCAATCAATCAATCAATCGCTGTTTATTATATAGCCCAATATCACAAATGTTACATTTGTCTCAGTGGACTTCGCAGTTTGTACAGAATATCAGTATGACAATACGACACCCTCTTTCCTTAGACCCTCACATCGTACAAGGAAAAACTTCCAGAGAAAACCCACAGTTTAAAGGGAAACATGGGAGAAACCTCAGGGAGAGCAACAGAGGAGGGATCCCTCTCCCAGGACGGACAGACGTGCAATAGATGCCGTGTGTAAATCGAAGAGATAATACATTTACAACATAGGTAGACCAAATGTTTGAGGTTAAATTAGTAATGTTTCAGCCTGTAGAATATCTGAATATCTTGAATATAAGACCAGTTTTTAATATAAGTTTAATACCAGTTTTTAGAGCTCAACTTGACTTCTTAAAATATGTGTTTGTGTCATTCAACCAGGCCTGAAAATAAAACAGTGATATTAAACAGATTCTAAATAATACGGAGAGAAGCTGCATCACAGATTATAATGGTACAAACAACCATTCATTTTCTGTCGGCTAAATTATCAACTCAAAAAGCATGGGAATGGTTCAAACCACATTTTTTTTATCTCTTTCATTAGTTTGTGTCTAAATCATGTTATGTATCAGTTGGTCACATGAAAAGACTTCAAGACAAGTATTGAAATTGATGATAAGTGCTGAGAGAGTCATCATAATGATGCTGATTGGTTCTCCGCTGCGTTCATGTCCCCAGTCAGACGGTGGACCTCCTGATGCAGGAGTCAGGGTGCAGACTGGAGCACCCCTCCGCCACCAAGTTCCGCAACCATGTCATGGAAGGAGAGTGGGACAAGGTGGAGAGACGTTTATACTCTGAAATGAAAATCCATACTGTTTTGAGTTTTTTCTAGCAGTAATCTAAGCACTCAATTTAGACCGAGTAGGAAGTCTTGTTTGCCAGAAAACGATTGTTACAGTGCTTCAAATCTGTTAGTCAGTGACTGTCTAGGTTTAAGTGTTTATTCATTGTGAACAGAGGTGGGAAGTAACTAAGTACATTTACTCAAGTACTGTTCTTATGTACGTTTTTAAGATACTTGAGTATTTCAATGTTATGCTACTTTTTACTTCTTCTCCAGTACAATTGAGAGGTAAATGGTGTACTTTTACTCCACTACATTTATGTAATACCTTTAGTTACTTTGCATATTTGGATTGAAATATAATCAAGTGTTAAATCAGACTTTAGTTCCACCTGGAGTAAATCCACAAGCTACCCTGCAGTATACAAAGTCATTACAACTAGCTGCACCTTTACCAGCTTTGAGAACACTTTCATGATCAATCATTATAAAACATATCATATATATTATACCAATCTTAGTATATTGTTATGCTTATACTTGATTAACATTTTGAATGCTGGACTTTTACTTGTAACAGAGTATTTCTACAATCTGGTATTTCTACTTTTACTTAAATTCAAGATCTGAGTACTTCTCCCACCTCTGATTGTGAAACCTGTCCCTCTTCGTGTTCTTTATACTTTCCCCCTTCCTTTATTCAGGCTGAGAGTGACCTGAATGAACTGAAGGCATTGATGCATTCTCCCAGTGCTATAGTGGTGAGTAGCAGTCCTCAGATCAGCTGTCTCTATGCTCTGTCTCATCAACATGTCATGTATGGTACACAAACACTGCAGCCAAAGGCACGAAGCTCCGACTAAATAATAGAGACCACCAGTTATTAGTGCGTCAGTACTACATTCGAAACAATTTGAATACATGATGATTATAAATGATTATATGTCTGCTGTGAGCAAACATATCAAGCATGTCCAGGCAGTGTATATCGTCAGCCCTGGGGAGTAGTGGGAACAAAAAGAAATCTTAATACTGGTACATTTAAAAAAAAAAGAATTGGTATTACTAGCAGGATTACAATGTTACAATCAATTTTAAAACAATGAGCTGCTGGGCCTCCTTTAAACCTCTATCCCTTCTAGTTTCTGTGCAGGGTTTAAAGATGTGTACTTGTGTAGAAATTGGATTTATTACATGAGCCCATTACAGCTATATGCAAGCATGTAGGATTTACAACTAGATTTAACACAGAAAGAAAGAGCTTCAGAACGGTAGGGCAGCTGTTAGTGATCCAGATTGTTGTGTACAATTAGATCATAAGACATTTTAAAATAAGCAATAAATAATAACAGTAACAAAATACATCTGTGAAGGCCCGTCCACACAGCGGCGTGCGTTGACGCTTGCCGGCGGGCGTGTATGACACTCGACCAACAACCAATCACATGAATCTCCCGCCCCTGACACACAAGCAGCGGTTTAATTGGCTAGAACTTGTACTGGCATATGATTCGATTGGCTGACGCTTCTGCAGAGGCGTCAAAAGTTGAACATTGCTCAACTTTTGCAGCGAGCCACGCCAGCAACGCTTCGCGTCGCTTCCCACGATGCAGTTCGGCGAAAAGTGACGTCACCCCATTCAAAGTGAATGGTGAAGCGTCAACGCACGCCGCTGTGTGGACGGGCCGTAATCAAAATATGTTTTACTGCTTCTTTTCTCAGTTTACTGTAGGTTATTTTTATTAGATTGAGGCAGTTTTCATTATAAAAGTTCCCTTTTTTCAGACAAACAAAGGCAGTTTTGTGCCAATCATCTCCAAATATTCAAAATATACTAGATACTCGATACTAGATGAAAATGTTGCCAAATATCATGTTACCAGGAGTAATTTGCATATTTGTATACCTCTAGCAAAAGAAGCATTCAAGTCATTGCTCTTCCAAGTCAGTGTAAAGTGTGTTCCATTACTAATGTAAAGAACAACAGGTTCTGTACTGAGTTCTAAGGACAAAATCATAAAAAATCACCAAATACAATGTACAATGTTTCAATTGAATAGAAAATAAACACTCACTGTAATGGTCTGCTGGTAAAGACACCTTGGTTTTCTAAAACCTTCTGTCTTGGTAAATGTCTTGGCCTGTGCTGATGTCCTCTCTGCTCTGTGTTCTTGTGCTCCTGAGCAGCGGATGAAGTTCCTGCTGCTGCAGCAGAAGTACCTGGAGTACCTGGAGGACGGGAAGGTTCTGGAGGCCCTGCAGGTCCTCCGAGCCGAGCTCACTCCTCTCAAGTACAACACGGAGCGGATCCACATCCTGAGCGGGTCAGTCCACACAGGGAGCTCTCACTGAATATCCAAGGGGCAGGGTTGTCATTTCAGAGTATCCACTACTTACAATGTGTAATGTGGTGCGATGTTAGTTACATTTTTACCCCCTATCACAATTGTCAGCACAGTACACCCAGAGCCCACTCTGCACTGATTGATTAGCTTGGGTTGAACCCCAAAAAGAGCCTCTTTAAATACAGGCATCCTGCTGGTTTTTGGAAGTAAATGGGAAGAGGGAGTATTTGTAATGAGTTGTAGCACAGGGCCGGCCCAGAAGGATACGCTGACAAGGTGATAAATGTGTGTGAGCAGCTGTGAGTGTGTCTGCAGCTGTGAGTGTGTCTGCAGCTGAGAGTGTGTGAGCAGCTGTGAGTGTGTCTGCAGCTGAGAGTGTGTGAGCAGCTGTGAGTGTGTCTGCAGCTGTGAGTGTGTCTGCAGCTGAGAGTGTGTGAGCAGCTGCGAGTGTGTGAGCAGCTGTGAGTGTGTCTGCAGCTGTGAGTGTGTCTGCAGCTGAGAGTGTGTGAGCAGCTGTGAGTGTGTCTGCAGCTGTGAGTGTGTGAGCAGCTGAGAGTGTGTGAGCAGCTGTGAGTGTGTCTGCAGCTGAGAGTGTGTGAGCAGCTGTGAGTGTGTCTGCAGCTGAGAGTGTGTCTGCAGCTGAGAGTTTGTGAGCAGCTGTGAGTGTGTCTGCAGGTGAGAGTGTGTCTGCAGCTGAGAGTGTAATGTCCTTCTGTGTTCTGCAGGTACCTGATGTGCAGTCATGCAGAGGACCTGCGAGCCAAAGCAGAGTGGGAGGGCAAAGGCACGGCGTCCCGCACCAAGCTTCTGGACAAGCTGCAGAGTGAGTGCACACTTTAAACAGCATTAACAGTGCAGAATCATTATTGTGCATACTGTATGTTTTATAATGTTGCCTCTCTTCTAAAATCAACTGCTTTCTACATCACTTCTTATGTAATATTGGCCATTATGATCTTAGTACGGTATTATTATCTCGATAACATTATCAGTAAATATGATCTTCAAACATCATATAGTCAATTGTATACTTACATCGTTCTCCTTTAATGGATTGTATGAAACCAAACAGAAGCTTTTCACAGAGCAGTAATTGTTGACATTGACGTTGTCTTGGATTATATTTACAGCATGGATCACATACTGGTAAAACCTCATGGTGAAAATTTTCAATTATCTGGACAGCTTCGACATTGTAGGGTTAACCATTGATGCTTTCACCAAGTATTTACACAATGATCATTTGATAAATCATCATCAGTAATGTGGGCTTATTGATTTAGTGGGTAAAGGCAAATAATAGAAAAGCTACAGGTCTGGTTAGTTTAGCAAATGACCTAATTTTACTGTATGAAAGCCAGGTAAAGACACACACTTATAGCGATCAACAACATACAGTTGTAGCTGTCGTATCATGACTAGTAGCTTAGTCTGTAAGGACTTGGCTTGGGAACTGAAGGGTTGCAGGTTCGAGTCCAGATCAGACCAAAACAGAGAGTGTGGGCTGGTAGCTGGGGAGGGGCCAATTCACCTCCTGGGCACCTCTGAGGAGGGCTTCACTTCACACACCTCTCCACCAATGCATGTGTATAGGCCCTGTGTATGTAATTTAACAAACACCAGGGTTAAACAGTGTATTGGAATAATAGAAGTATCTCTTTTTCTGAGTCATATCTCAAAATAAAATGACGATCAATCACCCAGCCATAATAGATGTGTGTTGAATCTAAGTCCAATCTTTGATATGTTTTACTGTTTGTGTGCAGCATACCTGCCCCCCTCGGTGATGCTGCCCCCCCGGCGCCTGCAGACCCTCCTGAAGCAGGCGGTGGAGCTGCAGAGGGAGCGCTGCCTGTACCACAACACCAAGCTGGACAGTGGGCTGGACTCTGTGTCCCTGCTGCTGGACCACGCCTGCAGCCGGTACCCACTCACTCTGCTGGGAACACACTCATATTTACACACTTTGATCAAACCAGTTCTGAAGCTTGATTGTTGTTGACTATTCTGGGACAATTGGTTTCCTGTCTGGGTGGAAACAATATTAAGTCCACTGAACGTTCTCGATAACCATCTTCATATTCAAAGTTCCAATCATGTTTTATTGCCCTTGAGAATAGAATTGATCAAGTCTGCAATAATTGAAAATGGGCAATTATTGGCAAACCCTTGTATCTGACCATAAACACTAACGTTATGTCTTATAACAATATTGGTACTTGATGCCTGCCTGTGCGTGTGTCCTTATCTCTCTCTTTAGGAAGCAGTTCCCCTGCTACACTCAGCAGATCCTCACTGAACACTGCAATGAAGTATGGTTCTGCAAGTTCTCCAACAACGGCACAAAACTGGCAACTGGGTCCAAAGACACGACGGTCATATTGTGGCACGTGGACACGGTAATCAAAAGTTACCTATGATCAATGTCACCTCAGAGCAGGGGGAATGTGATTTTTGACTGGTATAACTGTTGGTCAACAGGAAACCCAGCAGCTAAAGTTGATGAAGACTCTGGAGGGTCACGCTTACGGGGTCTCGTACCTGGCGTGGAGCCCTGACGATGCGTATCTGATCGCCTGTGGACCTGATGACTGCTCTGAATTGTGGCTGTGGAACGTTCAGGTACAGCCTCTCTCTGTCAGCTGTCTAGATTGTGTGCAGGGATTGGACAGTTACTTAAACAATGTATTCTGTTACCTTACCTAGTTAATAATGATTAACCTTATCCAATTTTTACAAAATTAAAGTAATGTAACCTGATTACGTTCCGTTAGACCTTAGAACATTTGAAATCAAGATATTTAGAATCGGAAATGATTTTTTTGTATTTGAGTTTTTACTAACGTTGTAATCCTGCTGGTAATCCCCAATTTGTACCAATGTACCATTCATCTGATTACATATTTTTTCAATTAACTGCAAGGCAATACAGTTCATTTGTATCCTGATAACGTAATCCTAGTACATGTAACCCGTTACTGCCTAAGCCTGGCTTTGGTTCCAATTTGTAGCACAGAATCAGGAAATATTTTTCAGTGTAGCACTAAAAAGGACTAACTTCACCACTTGCATAAGCACAAGGAATGCCGATTAGTGGTCAGATATGTATGAGAGTTTTGTATTAATACATACTTGAAAACTGTGAGCCTTTCCTTTAAATTCTAATGAATAAGGCACCTGGACCCTGTAAATGCAGGTACAGTAGGGTGGTCCTTGGTGACATGTACATTTTCGAATAGATTTTTGTTAAGCTCGAACCACCGGAATTTGTTATGATAGTCAAGATTGCTCTCCTGGTGAATTTTATTAAAATTCCAACAACATTTACCCCTCCCTCATCAACCTTTAAGTCCTTAAAACTGAAAGTCGGAAAGTCTAAGCTCCAACCCAATTCACCAGGAGAGTTTTCTTGACTAATAGAATGAATTCTGGGGGTTGGAGATTAGACTTCCCGACTTTCAATTTTAACGACCACACTAGGTACAGTATACTGCATTCTCATTGCATTCAACCCAAACCCATGGCAACCTGCAGTGAGAAAAGGGGGAACAGTTTCACCCGATGAGAGATGTGCTCTCAGAGTGTGTTGCCTGATTCATGTTTCTCTTTCCTGGCTTCTGTGTTGTAGACGGGGGAGTTACGCACCAAGATGAGTCAGTCTCATGAGGACAGCCTGACCAGCGTGGCCTGGAACCCCGACGGTAAACGCTTCGTCACCGGGGGCCAGAGGGGCCAGTTTTACCAGTGTGTGAGTATCTCTCACAACTTGGTACTATGCATACACTGCAATTACATCACACACAATATCTTATAAAGGTGTGTAAAGCACAGAAGCTTAATACGGATGTTTTCATTGCCTACATGCTGCTTGAATGTGTATATGTATTTTAAATGACATTCTGATACACACTGTAGTTGAGAAGTGAGCCATGTCATGGGAAATGTGTAATTTCTGGCTTACAAGATGGACGAGGAGTCATAATGTACTGAAAGAGCAGTGTTGTGCGTTTTACTGGTACACAAAGATCTTCCAGACTTCAAAGTGTCTGTAGAAGGTTTCCAGACTGTGTGTGTTTCAAGTGTTGTTATTCTACAATGGCGACAACACGTTTTGCCTAGACCCCGCCCTAAACTAATTCTATTGGTTTCCCCTAAGTATAGGTCATACTGAGAACACACGGGAGGCACAAGGACACTTGAATCACTACACAAGAATTTCAATATAGTGTGTAGCAAATTGTTAATGTAGTGATTTCGAAATATTTTTATTAAACTGGACTGTCAACAGGGAAAAGTAGGGGCAGGGACACTTTTGTAAGTCAGGATTTCAATTGTATTGACAGCTATTTGACTAAATGGTGAGAGCTAGCTAACTAGTTGATGGCTAATAAGGTTCATCGTTTAACTTTTGGCTGTTGTGTAGTGTTATGTGACAACTAGTTTCTAAACAAGCAAATGCTATGCTAACTATTACTATTACATTACATGTCATTTTTTTTTTTTTTGTTAGACTCTTTTATCCAAAGCGACTTACATACATTCAGTACTGTGGACAATCCCGAGCAATTTGGGGTGAAGTGTCTTGCCCAGGGACACAACGACATGCTGGACATATATTACGAACCATAATCAGTGGAGGCCATGTGGAAAAAAGCTATGCCACATGGTTAACAGGAAGTTGTAAATGTTATGGTTCCTGCTGTTGCACAATGTCTTCAGTTTTTAAGAACTGATACATTTACTGAAAATATTGGCCTTAGGTAAAATATGAAATGATGTGTGATGTACCTATGTTTTAAAAAATGAATATTGTCTGCTCCTGACTGCAGGACTTGGATGGGAACCTGCTGGACTCCTGGGAAGGGGTCCGGGTTCAGTGCCTGTGGTGTCTGAATGACGGCCGGACCATGCTTGCATCCGACACACACCAACGCATTCGTGGATACAACTTTGAGGACCTGACGGACAGGAACATGTGAGTCCCCAGCAGCCCGCTCTGTGGAAAATCAACAGCCTCCTCTTTCTGT